TCCTGGCCTCTCTCCCTCCTTCAGTCTTCTTATTCACTGGGCATTAAAATAGTTACTATCTGATCCATCCCATGAATTAGCTTTCTGATTTGCCCTTCCCTTGATAACCCCTTAAGTGTTGGCCATCTTGTATTTCTTAATGGTTTCCACAACCTTTGCAAACAGCAGTCACTCAATAAATATGTTTAACTGATTGGTAATTATAGAATTATAGCTGTGGTATAAAAAACCTATGACAATGAGATTTTCCTCCCTGAAAATGTCTGCTGGACATTCTTGGTTTGCAGGTCAGTCCCTGAAGAGGAATTAGGACTGTCTTGTCTTGAGTGACGCCTTGTTTATTTCCTGTGCCATCAAATCATTTACATACTCTTTATGGAGGACCACAGTGGTGGGATGATGAGGAACATTTAAGCCAGTTTCCCTTACAGCTCCCTCATGAGCTTCCGCCTGTACACTATCTACACTGCTGTAAATCCCTGGTGTTTTAAAATTCAGTTCAATCAGGTTACAGGGCTTTGCACACACAGAGACTTGGGTTTGAAACCTGGTCCGACTGCTTAGTAGCTATAAAATCCTGGGAAAATAAGTATCTCTGGACGTCAGCTTCTTCATCTTTAAAATATGGATGACTTGGAAGAGTGTTGTAAAAGTAAATGAGATTATATTAATGTAAGAAATGTCTGAGTAATTCGGGCAACAGTAATTGCCCAATAAATGATTAGTTATTATTATTAAAAAGAAGAGGAAGACACAGCAGGAGGAGGAAGAGGAAGGTGTAGGAACATTTCCTAATTTTTATTTCCTTCCATTTGTTTTCTTGGGGCAGGAAATGCCCCCACTGGTAGCTCTTGAGAAAGGCTGGAAATCTCTGAGTGCAGTGGGCAAAACCATTCATTTCTGTTCATCGAGGATGATTTAGATAGGGACCTGCCTTCAGGCAGGGCAATGAGCATCTAAAGACACTGCAGAGGCAGTGATTTTTGACTTTTATCCAAGAATGGTTCCTGGCACATATAAGGCACTTGGTAAATGTCTGTTTATTGAATGAACCCCTTCTAGCCCAAGGCCACACAAGACGCAAGTTCACCTCCTAGACTCCCCATCATGGTGTTCCACGGGGCCACTGGTCCTGCCCCTCACATTTATCCCATATGAACCCCCTCCTGATGTTCAAAAATAATACGGTTGTTTCTGTGGCTACGTCACCACCAAAGGCCTGTATCCACAGGAGAATCCTGGGAGATGGGAGGCTGTCCTGGGCACACCTGGGCACCAGAGCTGGCCCCCACCAGCCAGCACGGTGGTCCCTGAGTCAAGCAAGCGACAACTCAGCAGGTCCAACTTGCAAACAAGTGCAAAAAAGAAAAAAGAAAAAAGAAGATGAAGGAAGGGGAAAAATCAGCTATTAGGACTACTCTGATGGCAGGCATGGGAAGAAATACTTATTTTCTAGAGTTAGGCTTTATTTGAGCAAAGCTAAGCAACACTACGCTTTTTCTTTCCGGCTAATACTGGCAAAGAAATATAAAAACCTATTCTAAAATTTGCCTGCACTTTAATTTTATAATGCTATCCTATGGGTGAAAAAAATCTGCCAAATAACATATAGGAACTAGAATGGAAATAAGCATAATCTGAAAGTGGTCCTAGGCTTTTTTTAAAACAAAGGGCAGAACACCAGTGAGCAGCAACAACAATGTGACTTTTTCTACATAACGTGCAGCATCCATGATGGAGGTCAGACTGCACCCGGTCACAGGGAAGGAAAGAAAGCACCAGCCCAAGGACTAGACTATGTGTGACGTGTGGGAGGGCTGCTCGGTGCGGTTTCATTTCAGAAGCACTGTTGTGGCTGGGCCTCCAGATGTAACACCTCCTTCAGAGAACAGTGTCCACCTACGTTGGGATACACATCCCTGGCCAAATGCAGCACTGTTCTCGCCCTTCAACTAAACCGGGGTGACATCTGGGAAGAGAAGTTGGAGGGAGTGAAGGATGAGCCACTTTTGCTTTTTACTCGATCTATTTCTGTACTGTTTAAAATGTCTTATAAATAGCATGCATTTACTCTATTGCTTAAAAAGACATACATATATAGTCCCCAAATTAAAGCATGCCTATTCATCAGCAACAAGCTGTTTTAACCATTTAAACTCTTCGTTACCTCCTCCCTCACCTTTGCCTTCTCTGAAGGCCACAACCCAAACCCTTGGTAACAATCAGCTATTGGTTTGAATATTAGTAATTGGAATAGCTAACATTCTTAAACTCTCCAATGGGCAGGTCTTGTGTAGAGAGCTCAGGGTGAAACCCACCCGATCACTTCATTCTTGTCCGCATGTGGTCATAACCAATGGGCCCTTGAATGAGAGTCACATGGTCCTAATAAGCTCAGAAGGCCCATTTCCCCTCACAGATGGACAGCTCCGAGGCCTGAGTGGAAGGCAAGCCTGGGCCACTGGCCACAGCTGGGTCCTCTCCAAGAGTAGTACTTTCTCTGCATGTCCCTGTGTTGCTCATTGCCCAAACCTCCCTTGTGAGTCATGGGCTCTGAGGGCTATAGGCCAGGGCAGTGTGGCCTTTTCCAGGAGGCATGTCCTGAAGCTACCATCACAACTACCTTCTGGGGCTCTGAGTCCCTGCTGTGTCTCCCCACAGCCATGCCTCCCTGCCTCAGCCATCCTTCTGAAGAGCCCACCTGTCCAGGTCTGCCCTGCTGAACACCACCCCACACCCAGCTGTCTCCTGCAAACCCCGGGGGCCTGCACACCCCTTCCGGGAGGGAGGCAGACCCTAATGGGCAGAAAGGAACGAATGTGGTCCCAACAGTCAGAACTGTCAGGGATGAAATTAGCAAGGTAGAAAAAAAAAAAAGCTAACAGGGCTTGCACAGGGTATAAACAGGGAAGCCTCTCCGAGGTCACCTGGACGTGAAGTCCTGGGGGATGAGCAGCAGTGGCCGACTGAAAGCAGGGAGGAAGGAGTCCGAGTCAAGGTGATTGGCCAGAAACTCTGAGGAGACATGGGTGTGCCGTGGCCCCTCCCCAGACCTCCAGGCTGATTTGGTGAACAACCTATTCCTGTATCTCTACTCTGTGGTCCAACAGGCACCTGAGCCTTCACACATTCAAACCAATGCCCAATACACCTCCACCACCACCACCTTGCCAAATCCTGCTCTTCACACAACATTCTCCATCTCAGTGAAAGACAACTTCATTCTTTCAATTACTTGGACCCCACACCTAGAAGTCAACCTAGGCTCCTCTCTCTCAAATCCTAGTGCCTCAGGTATCCTACCACCTCTTCCCACCTCCGCTGCTACAGCCGTTCTCAGCCATCATCATCTTGCACCTGGATCACGGCTAGAGCCCCTGGTCTTCCTGCTTCCTCCTCACCCCTCCACTGCCTATTCTCCATGCAGCAGAGGGATGCATTTTTAACACAGGAGCAAGTGATTCCTTGACTTATCTGCTCAAAGTTCCCAATCACTTCCCATCTCATTCAGGTAAAGCCAGGCCCCTACAATGGCCTTCATGGCCCCACATGGCCTGCGACCTCCTCTGCTGCTGCTCCCGCTCTGGCCTTGGTACCCACAAGCCCTGGTCTCGCTGCACCTGACACGCTGCTCCTCGAGCCGACCAAGCACGTTCCCACTGCAGGGCCTTGGCACCGCTGTCCCCAGCATCTCCGTGACTCACTCCCTCACCGCCTTCTGTCTCTGCTCAGATATCTTAGTGAGGCTGCGCTGTCTTTAAGCAAATGGGCAGTGCATTCTAAACAGGATCATCTGGAGCTTGTCTAAGAGAAAGCTACTGGAAAGATCAAAGAAATGGAAAGATACCCAAACACAGAACGTGCTGTGTGTGTGTGTGTGTGTGTGTGTGTGTGTGTGTGTGTGCACGCCCCTCAGTACCCACAGGGAATTTGTTCCAGAACTTCCTGTGGATACCAAAATCCATGGGTTGTCAAGTCTCTGACATAAAATGGTGTAGTGTTTGCTTACAACCCATGCACATCCTCCTGTATACTTTAAATCATCTCTGGATGACTTGTAACACCTAATACAATGTAAGTGCTATGTCAGTAGTTGTTATATTGTACTGTTTAGGAAATAATGACAAGAAAAAAAGTCTGTACATGTTCAGGACAGATGCAACCATAGTAGGTCTAAACTACAGTTTTGACCCACAGTTGGTTGAATCTGAGGATCTGGAACCTGTTCATGCAAAGGGCTGATTGTGTGTGTGTGTGTGTGTGTGTGTGTGTGTGTGTGTGTGTTTAGTGGTTTACTAAACATTACGTACATATTACACATACACACACACACACACACACACACACACACACACACACACACACAGTGGTTGACCAACAGTGGCTGCCGTTGGGTGGATGAGTGTGGGTGATGTTCTGTTTCTTGCTCTGGATGCTGGTTATGGTATACAGAATGGTTTGTTTGTACAAATCCATCAAGTAGTTTATTTATGATATACGTATTCTTCTGAATTTGTGTTTATGGGTCAATACAAGTTTGTTTGTTTGTTTGTTTTTGAGATGGAGTCTCACTCTTTCACCCAGACTGGAGTGCAATGGCACGATCTCGGCTCACTGCAACCTTCACCTTCCAGGTTCAAGTGATTCTCCCGTCTCAGCTTCCTGAGCAGCTGGGATTATAGGTACACAGCACCATGCCCAGCTGTTTTTTTGTATTTTTAGTAGAGACAGGGTTTCACTGTGTTCCTCCGGCTGGTCTCAAACTCCTGAGCTCAGGCAATCCACCACCTCAGCCTCCCAAAGTGCTAGGATTACAGGTGTGAACCACTGTGCCCAGACTTTTTTTTTTTTTTAAAGAACGCTTCACTAATATGAGATTTACATATGTTGTAGACACACAGCTAACACACACTCCCTTTCTGCAACATTTGAAAGCAAAATTTAGTAACCTCATGAAACTCAACTAAGTGGCACTTTGTCTCTCTATGCAAAAGACTTACCATCCCACAGTTGCACTGGTCAGGATCGCATCAAACAGCAATATTGAGAAGCCAGCTGTGATTATCTGCAGAAAGAATTTCAACAAAAGGTCATCACACCAGCAGGGCTCTGGTAACCTCCACTGTCATTTTTTCACAAGCTTAGTTCATTTTATTTGGGATTCCTGCCATCAGCCACTTCTTCCCACTTCCCATGTCCTTCCTTTTCCCCTACATGCTTCCTAGTCAGCCCCCCGCACTTGGCGGCGCCTCTGAGCCAAGCATTTGGTATAGAAAAGGCTAAGTCCTGGTCTGTTTTGGAGGTGAGAATGTTCGAAGAAGCATTTAATTTCCAAATTCTTCAAAAGGGAGGCGTACAGCCAAGGCCGCCCTCATCTCTCTCCAGGGAAGGGGTATATTAAGAAAACTTATTTCCATTTTGTCTCAGCAGTGCAGAACTTGTCTCCAAGGTCATATGTGCTCATTAACCTGTTCCCAGATCCTCCAGATAAAAATGTATCTGTCACCCAGCCTTCATCCAAGGCACCGTCTCTCTGTCCTCTCCTACTGCTCCCATCTTTCTGATCCATGACACACATGCTAAGAAACCAGGTGCATCCTGGGAAAAGGAGGTCAGGAGTTCAAGACCAGCCTGGCAAACATGGTGAAATCCCATCTCTATTAAAAATACAAAAACTAGCCAGGCTTGGTGGTGCATGCCTGTAATCCCAGCTATTTGAGAGGTTGGGGCAAGAGAATCGCTTGAACCTGGGAGGTAGAGGTTGCAGTGAGCCGAGCTCGTGCCACTGTACTCCAGCCTGGGCAACAGAGTGAGACTCCATCTCAAAAGAAAAAAATAAAATAAAATAAATTTGCAAATATCTAGAAGTTGGAGGTGAGGGAAGTGTTACCGCCACATCTCTCAAGGCTGGAAATTCCAGAAAAGTGTTTCAGAAATGGTAGCCACAGGACTCAGATCCCAGAGATGCCTTGAACCCCTCAGCACCAAGATGTGTGCGAGCCAGGGGCCCAGCTCTGTCTGCACTTGGAATGTCTGCTTAAGGAAGGACGCTTCTGGCTTCCAGTCTTTGCATCCTGTAGGTCAAAACAGCTTCTGTGGAGAAGGTACCCTTAACAATCTGCTTTCTTGCTGTGAGAGGTGGGATGTAGGCTGCACTGGGAGAGGTTCCGTTGAGCTGAAGGTCCTCAGAAACGTCAGCTACCATCTCCCTCGGGGGGATTTCACATGCTGTCTTGGAGGCCTCTTTGGCTCCCAAGCTGGGAGCAAAGCAGCAGGCAGGCAGGCAGAAGGGCGTGTGTTTATGAACCTTACCGTCACTCCTTTGCTAATCTCAGAAAGAAGTCTGGAACTACAAACCCAGAACCCTCGTGATAGGATATAAACTTGGTGAGATCTGAGAACTTTTCTTTGTAGTTAAGTCATTTGGTATCACTTTCTGCCTTGCTTTATTGATTTGTAGCAAAAAGCTTGGCTACCAAAAAGGCCTGGGTATTGTCTTCAGGGGCAGTAAAGTAGAAGCCCAGCCAGAGAGACAATTATAAGAATGCAAAGGACAGGAAAAGAGGTTTCTCTAAGTGGAGATTAGTGGTGGCTTTTTCCTTAAAGAGCACATTGAATGACAAGTTTTGAGTTGATGCCCATGATGAATGTCCCTCTTTTCTTTCTTTTTTATTTTTTGAGACAGGGTCACCCCGGCTGGAGTGCAGTGGCGCAATCTCAGCTCACTGTAGCCTCGACCTCCCAGGACTCAAGCAATCCTCCCAGCACAGCCTCCGAGTAGCTGGGACTATAGTCACACGCTGCCACATCCAGCTAATTTTGAGTATTTTTTGTAGAGACAACATCTCACTTTGTTGACCAAGTTGATCTTGAACCCCTGGGCTCAAACAATCCCAACCGCCTTAGCCTTACAAAGTGCTGGAATTATAGGTGTGAGCCACCACACCCAGTTCTTTTTTTTTTTTTTAATTTAACATTTAATTTAGAACATCCACATCTATGGTCATAAATGAAGGCGGCTAGAATAGTACTACCTCTCAAGGCAATTGTCTGGTCTTGGAAACAATGTTGTACTAACCGCATAAGTGAGTTCATCAGCTTCTCTGCTTATTATCCTGCAATGGTTACAATTTGACTCTGAAAGTTACCCCTGACTTGAAGGGCCCTGGACCCAGACAGATCTCCTAGCTGGGGGAGATCTTTACCGGCTATTATCCTAATCAAGTCTTCTCTTTCTTGTTGCAAATTTTCCATTTTCACTTTTCCCAAAATGTATTTCATCTAGTTCTCCCAATTCATTAACATTTAGCTGTTTGGAGAAATATTTCACATTGTTTGTACCTGTTTTGATTACCTTCCTTTTTATTTATTTATTTATTCATTTGTTTTTGTCATTTTTCTCTTCATTCCCCTCACCCCCTTCATTCCTCTTGACTAAAGTTAACCATGCTGTTAGTCATTCTTTCCTTTTGCAACTTCTTGGACATGGCCTGGGATGGTGCCAATGGAGATGTATTTCTTGGACCTGCTGAGAAAGGCTCCGTCCCATTGATGGATGTTGGCTGTGCTGGCAGCTCCGCATAATGGAACACTCCGCTTGATTTATAAAGGATCCAACTTGTCTTTTCTATGTTCTCAGCATTGTCTTTATCAGCCTTGCCTGTTTTAATTAGCTCTTCAAGGCCTTCTTTGATCAGCTTCTCTCCTTATTCTCTGACTACCTTGCCAGGTGACTTTTAGTACAGTTGGTAAAGAGTGACGCCTGCCCTGTGTACCCCCTCCCCCAGCCTGCGACTTGTGCCTCTGCTCCTCCGTGAGCCTCTTTAGCTTAGGAGGAATCCTGTCTGCAGTGAGATAGACAGCTGGCCTGCTTATTCCTCTGAACTGCACCTTTCGCCAAGAAAAACACATTTTTAAAATTTTTAACCAGCCCTTACTTGAAAAGAAGGTTGGTTTAGCAGCCACACTGGTGCCTTCGCCATCTGCTGCTTCCTGGAAATGTTTGTGTAGTCTCCTGTCTTCCCCTGAGCCACCTTTTCAAAATTCTCTAAAGTTTTATCACTCAAGGGGCAAGTGTGCCGCTACCTGAGACCCTTTATCTTATTTCCGTAGAGAACGTTGACTGAACTTTGTTTGCACTGTGGGGCAGCTGTGGGGTCGGATGGGCTTTTTAACCTATAATGATGGTACAAACTGATGGTACAAACCCCTAAGTTTCTCAGGCTTCTCCGCTTTCTTTTACTTCCATCACAAGCCCAGTGGTCAGCTCTCTTTTTGGAGGCATGTTCTGTCTCTCTTTCTCTCTCTCAGGTGCACACACACATGCACACGCACATGCGCCGCGTGCAAACACACATACATGCACGCGCACACACACACGCACACACATGCACACGCACGCACACACACACACACACACACACAGTCACCAAAGTTCTACTATTTCATAAAAGTCAGTTCAAAAGAAAGGACAGATGGACATGGTGGCTCACACCTGTAATCCCAGCACTTACAGAGGCCGAAATGGGCAGATCACCTGAGGCCAGGAGTCCAAGGCCAGCCTGGCCAACATGGTGAAATCCCGTCTCTACTAAAAAAAAATACACAAAATTAGTCAGGTGTGGTGGCAGTCGCCTGTAATCCCGGCTACTTGGGAGGCAGAGGCACAATAAGCTCTTGAATCTGGGAGGCGGAGGTTGCAGTGAGCCGAGATCACACCATTGCACTCCAGCCTGGGTGACAAAGCGAAACTCCATCTCAAAAAAAAAAATCAAAAAAGAACGAGGAGCAGCCAACAACGCTGCTCAACAAGACAGATTCTGGGCACTGGCCAGCCTGGCTCCCCACTGGGGGACGTGGCCCCATGCACTGCTCTCATTGTGGGTACGGTTCAAATGCACGTCTCGGCAAAGTGACAGATTTCTGTACAGCAGGAGCCTTTGGAGCTGCTCAAGAGCACTCAAAAGTGAGACTGTTAAATCTGCTGGTGCCAAGAGGCCACTCCATTCCTAACTGCATTGAGGAGGAAACGGAAGCCAGGACACGCGGAGTATGCCATGTCTGGTACAGAATGTCCCAGGTGTAGTCACCCAAGGCAGAGCCCAAGAGGTGAAGGGACTCCCTTAGCTCACAAAGTGGGAAGACCATGACCCAGAGATGGTGTGTGACTGTTCCAGGGATCCAGGGAGTTGGTGGCAGTGAGGAACAGAACTAAGGCCTTGACTCCTAGATCAACTTTCTCCAATAGCCAAAAACGCAAGGGCCCACACAAGCTCTACACAGCTTTTTAAGAGAAAAACCCAGTGAAAGCAGCGGCTCCAGCAGATATCTGCACACCCACATCCACAGCAGCACCACTCACAATAGTCAAAGCTGGAGGCAATCCAAGTGTCCATAGAGGGATAGACAGAGAAGCAAAATGTGGGGCATACCTACGATGGAATATTATTCAGCCTTAAAGAGGAAGGAGATTCTGATTAATGCTACCACATGGAAGACATTATGCTAAGTGAAACGCATCAGATACAGAAGGACATATAAAGTATTATTTCACTTATATGAGTTACTTGGAATTGTCAAACTCATAGAGACAGAAAGTAGAATGATGGTTGTCAGGACCTAGGAGGAGCAAGGCATCAGGAATTAGTGTTTAATGGGTACAGAGTTTCAGTTTGCAAAGAAACATTTGTGGAAATGGATAGCGGTGATGGTTGTACAATGGTATGAACTTAATCAATGCCACTGAACTGTCCAGTTATAAATGGTTAAAGTGGTAAATCTTGGCCAGGCACAGTGGCTCACGTCTGTAATCCTAGCACTTTGGGAGGCTGAGGTGGGCAGATCAAAAGGTCAGGAGTTTGAGACCAGCCTGGCCAATATGGTGAAACCTCATCTCTACTAAAAATACAAAGATTAGCCAGGCGTGGTGGTGGGCACCTGTAGTCCCAGCAATTTGTGAGGCTGAGGCAGGAGAATCACTTGAACCTGGAAGGTGGGGGTTACAGTGAGCCATGACTGAGATTGCACTATTGCACTCCAGCCTGGGCAATAGAGCGAGATTCTCTC